ACACGCACAGACAACCCCGTGACAATATGCGTTTTGTAACGCTGTTACACAGCACAAAATGCATAACAAATGGTGGCGCGTACCAGAGCGGCTGGTACGATCATGCGTTTTGTGTAATTCCGTTCATCGAATGATTGCCTGCTGAAGATTTCCACTGCTTTGCACTTTGGTCTGTGCAAAAACAGTTGAGATGTTGTCTGATTCGTAAGTTGCAGAACTTCCCATTAAAAATTTCACGCGCACGAGGTAGTAATTTCTCTATCAAAACTTTCACGGGGCTGTATGTGGTACCCAGCGGTGCGTGAAGGCTGAATCCAAACTTCCGAAGCCGTACGGTTGTAGAGGAGATTACCCTAAAATTTGAGATTCCCAAATTCCGCGGTTCCCGAGTTAATAATTTTCTCCACCGAAACTTTCATGGGGCCCTAAGTGAACCTTGAACGCGCGGTAAGCTGAATTTAAAAGTGCAGGGCTGTATGTAGACAGAAAAGATTACCACAAAATTTCAGCTTCCTGGCTTATGGTTTCCGAGACAATAATTTCCTGGCCGTAATTTTCACTGAGCCGTAGGTAATACTCGAGAGCACAGGAACACTGAATTTGAATTTGCGAGGTCGTACGTGAGTAGGGGTCATTACTTCAAAATTTAGCTTCCTGGATTCCGTGGTTCCAGAGATAATAATTTATCCGCTAAAACTTTCACGGGGCCATATACGTTACCTGCGGATACGGAAGGGTTAAATTTAAATCTGTGTCAAGTGTGAGCAGGGAACATACCATAAAATTTCAGCTTCATAGCTTCCATGGTTCCCGAAACAATAATTTATCCATCAAAACTTTCACGGGACCGTAGGTGGTACCCGAGTGCACGGGAACGCTGAGTTTGAATAGGAAAGGTCGAGCATGAACAGTGGGTCATTGCCCTAAAATCACAGCTTTTGTCGATTCCGTGGTTCCCGAGATAATAATTAACACGCAAAAATTTCCACGAAACGACAGGTGATGCCCGAGAACACGGGAACGCTAGATTTGAATAGGCAAGGTCAAGTGTGGGCAGAGAGTCATTACAGCTTCGTAGATTCCGCGGTTTCCGAGATAATAATATATTCGCCAAAATTGGAGCCGTATGTGTTACCCGTGGGTACAGGAAGGTTGAATTTGAGCTTTTTGGGTTGCACGTGATCAGGGGATATACCCATAAAATTTCAGCTTCATAGCTTCCGTAGTTCTCGAGATACTGATTTTATCGGGAAAACTTTTATGGGGCCGTACGTGTTGCACGCGGATACGGGTAAGCTGAATTTAAATTTGCCGTGTCACTCGTTGGCGTGGAACACTATACCAAAATTTCAGCCGCCTAACTTTTGTGGTTCCTGAATTGAAAGTGCGGGACAAAATTTGGAAAACACAAGAAGGATATTCTCCGCTCATGTGCAACTGAAATATTTCAAATCCAACTTTAAAGCACACCTGAGTCTTGCGTAGATGTGGGTTGGTAGCCATTAACTGGTTAGCTAGATTGATTGGGAAGTAATATTTTTTTGAAGATATTTCATGTTCATGTGTGGATCAGCAAGCGAAGGATGTTCTTCTTCCTAGTCACAAGTGCTGCGTGTAGCCATATCAGTTGCTTAAATTGGAGTGCCGCAGCCACTCAAAAAACGCATGTTTGCACCGGCAAGTCTGATACGTGACTACCTGGACGTTTAAAGCTATAATTGCTAACTAGCAAATACGAATAAGGCTGAGCCTCTGATCCGGAAAGAGTAGTCACTTTATGAAGTCCGTCTGATTTACTCGATTGAAAAGTGAAGAAAACCGTAGGTTTAACGCGTGAAACCGTCCCATTTTTGTTCCTCTAGCTGGCAAATCCTGACTTTTTTCGTTTTCATAATATTTGGATGTGCAGTTGTCGGGAGTCTGTTGCAAAAAACAACGCAAACATCTTCACTAATGAATTGTTTTAGCTGCAACCAAACGAG